CCACGTCACAGTAGGAAGTTGATTACGGGTACGTAGCGTTGCGCGTTACGTCACCGCGGAGGGGAGGGAGGGAGCGCTACGCTACGGCCACGCGCCTGTGGCCTGAGTTGCCACGTTGCTGCTGGGTAGGGAGGGGTTCTCCGTTGCGCAACATGTTACAATAAATAAATATATATATATAACACATGCATCTAATGCATGTGAAGCACTTCCTTTGAAGTGTTGGTCGCCTTGCAATGTTGGTCATCATTGGCAGAAAGATGTAAAGGCTCTATTTTATTATTAAAATATATGTTTGCATTTGATGGAATTTAATCGCAATCTCACTTACATGGATCTTTCGTTCTGAAACAAGAGAAGGCAATGACAGCGTAAGTACCTGTGTCTCCAAAGTCAAAAGTGTGGCAGCGAAAATCTGGCGCTTGTAAACACAATTTGCGGCACTGCTCCAGGCTAGCCACGTCCTGATGGATGCTGTCCACGGTCTTCAGTATGCGTCCATTGAGTTGGGTGAAGTCACACATCTTGAGGGGGTCGCTAACGCAGTTGGACTCGATGTAGTCCACGCGTTCCTCAGCCGTCAGACTGTTCAGTCCGGACACGGTGAACCTATCCATGTCGCTCAGAGCACAGTCCCCGGTCTCGTGGTTGAAGTTCGCTGACCTGGACCAACATCAGATATGCACTAAGTAATGTTGTCGCTTTGCTTAATTAATTAAGCACTGTGCCATTATAGGGCTATGGGGAGAGAAGGTATAGCTTCATAATTGTTGACCACGGCACTAGATTCACGTGGGTGGTTACCTTCACGCTCCAGCCACTTTAGCTACGGGGAAAGAGCCCTAAGTGCTCATTGGATAGGAGGCTGGATGGGCCCCAGAGCCTGTGTGAATGCTGTAAAGAAGAGGAAAATCTTACCCTTGCCAGGAGTCCAACCTCATCCATCCAGCCCTCAGCCTGTCACTATACCAACTGAGCTATCCTATTCCTCTAGATATGCAATGAGGGTATGAAATATGAGTGCAGAGTACATTAAGGGCATCTGAAGACAGAGTAGGGTAGAGGTAAATTTGTAAAAAGGCAATAAGGTAAAAGTGTCTCTGTTCCACCCCATGAAGACGTTCGGGGATGGAAGTATAGCTCGCAAAGTCGTACCTGTGCTTAATCAAACACATCGCCATGAAGACGAGGGGGAGGATAGAGGTACAGCTCCATGCATTTTTCTAATCTTTCTGGCTTGTATTTGGGAGGAATTAGGTTTAAACATCGCTCGGGAAACCAAACGGTCAGAGATATGAGCAGTTTTCCTGTTTCTCCATGCCAATGCTAGGATAGTGCATTAAGTTAAGCCACGATTGTTTCTTTCGACATCTTTCCATTCATTGCTCAATACCATTCAATTATTCGATGCTACAGTCCTATAGTCAGAGTCTTCTTGCATTTCGTGTGGTGGAGTGAGACTGAGTCCACTTGGTACGTCGGCCTCTAACTGGCCTGTACCAGCCCCGGATGATAGATGAGTATGGAGCATTTGGTGGACTCAGAATTGGCAGGGGAAACCGAAGTACTCGGAGAAAACCTGCCCCAGCGCCACTTCGTCCACCACAAATCCCACACGACACTACTCGGGCTCAAACCAAAGCAGCCGCGGGGGGAAGCCGGCTACTGCCCGCCTGAGCTATGGCACGGCCTATAGCCCGAGCTACCGACAGGCTCGTTACGTAAGTCTCAGATACGATGAGCACTATATTCTGGACCGCGAGCCGCAGAGTCGCATACAAACATACAGATATTGTAAGTCCGTCGCTTGAGTCCGCAAGTGAACTATACCGACCGAGCGACCGCCGCTTGTCGGCGAAGTTAATACCAACTTTAGCGGAGAGAGGGTGTCATGTGGTCAGCGCAACGAAACACCACGGCCGTTAATCTCAGTTTTATAGACCGGAGCCGCTATTTCCTTGAAACAGTTCCTCAATTATCCTCACGAGGCTGAGTGGACCCCGCTCCAGATCCACTACTTCTCAAAAAATCTGGTAGCGCCGGGAATCTAACCCGGACCTCTGGATCTGTAGCCAGGAACTCTGACCACTAGACCAAAAAGGCGGTCAACATACAGATACTGCGGAGGGAAAATCTGATGCCATCTTCATTGTTATCTTCGCTCTTTGCTTAGCTTACCCATCGACCTTGAAGATGGAGGCAGAACGTTCCTCCGAAAGATATATAAGCTTTCACCAGATTATACGGCATCACACGACAGACTATATTACTCTTCGCAGGCACCGTTGCAAAAAAGAACCAAATACAAAAAAAAAAATATCAGTAACATATTCATGCATTTGGCACTGTATGGAGGTGGGTGGTCAGTATTGTGTTGAGGCCGCTTTACACGCGGGGACAGAACCCAGGGAATCCATTACATGGGCAGGATAAGCCCCATAACCGGCCACGGCCAAGGGCCAAACAGAAAAATGACTACCTTCTTTCGGAATCTAAGTGCAATTAGGGTGAACTGATGGTAAGAAAAATCAATGCCCTTTCCGGGAATCGAACTCTGGGCATCTAGCCCGTATTCTAACTCTAGGATTGTGAACATGGAAGCTGCCAATCAGAGAGGCGTGACGCTCGTTTCTTCTGTTTCCCCTCCCCCTCACTCTTCCATGCACTTGGCGCAACAATACGCATAGCAGTAGCGAGCAGTAGCGATCCTAACAGTGGAACGGAAGTTCGGTGTCTGTTTTTTGTCTGCGAACGAAAGTTGGCATGCACCTATACTGTGACCCAGTACTCCATCTTTGAAACCGGTTGCAGTCGGTCGGCATCCCGTTATAACCTTATGAAGCTGTCTGCACACACACACACATGGGTACCGTTATTGTGGCTCCACAGCCCACAGCATTGGCTGCATCCTCCTACGTAATCATGTCTACTACTTCATTTCCCTGTCGTCTGCATTTAACTACGTGGTTACTACATGCACCTCCAAGACAGTGGCGCTGGGGCAGGTTTTCTCTGAGTATTTCGGTTTCCCCTGCCAATCTTCATTCCACCAATTGCTCCACAATCACCCTCACCTATCATCTTGGGCTGGTACACTAGGCCAGAAGTGGCCGCAGTACAAGGGACTTAGTCCCACCCCACTAGCAATAAAAAAACATACAAAAACTCTGGGTACTGCATACACGGTGTATTCTTGTATTTCGTATGGAAGTGTATGCCGACCACAGTGGCCGCGCGGTCTAAGGCATGAACTGTCTACGCTCGCTCGTAAGCTGGGATCGTGGATTCGAATCCAACTCAAGGCATGGATGTCTGTATTGTGTGCGTTTATTCTGTGTTTATGTTGCTCTGTGTGTAGGTAGAGGCCTTGTGACTTGCTGATCCCCCGTCCAAGGAGTCCTACCGACTGTGTTAAGATCAAGAAACTGAAAAAGCGGCCAAGGCCCAACAAAAAAGGTTGTAGAGCCATAATAATAATAATAATAATGATGATAATAATAATAACTTCCTGATTTTAGTCCGCAAGCGAACTACACAGACCGAGTGACAGCCGCTTGTGGGCGAAGTTTTCTTTAATGCTAGTGGGGTGGGACTAAGTCCCTTGTAGGCGCTGGGGCAGGTTTTCTCCGAGTACTTCGGTTTCCCCTGCCAATCTTCATTCCATCAATTGCTCCACAATCACCCT